TATCAGGTCTGAGAGGAAAGAGTGAGGCATGGCAAGCTGGCAGTCAATCCTCCACCGAGGTCGAGCAATCAATGCTGCTCAGGGGTCCTTCGGCCAGATGGAAGGAAGCATGAGTGGATTTATTGTAATGTCTATTCTGACTTGCCGGTGGAATAGGAACCGGACTGATGCTCCCCAGAATGGAAAGGAGCCAGGACCATAAGGTCCTGTTTTTTATTAAAAAAAAAAAAAAAAAAAAGCCAACCAGAAAGGTGAAACGGTTTTCACCTTTTAGCAGTAGCGGATGCAGTACCCAGGGTTCGATCCCTAGACCTCACCCTACCTATGTACAGTATCTGCATAGACCCGAGAATTGAACCTGTGACCTGTGTATTCGCAGACAGTTGGTAGGTCTGTCGTAGGTCCATAGGCAGCAGGGGTTCGATCTGTAGGTCTATAGCGTAGAAGTCTTAGTGAGTTCCGGAAGCTTAGCTGTAGACCTTCTAGAAGGTAGGCAAGTGGGCAAGTGGTCAAGTGGCGAGGCAAGTGGTGGACTAAACCGCAGTGCAACAGCGGTACAACGTCGATAGGATAGCGGTGAGTCTACAGTCAGTCAGCGGAAGGTCCAGTCAGTCCCAGTCCGGTCCAGCAAGTACCATGGGGTGACTGTGAGCACCAAGGGCCGATGGAAAAGGGCAGACCAATGAGTTTCTGAAGTATAAATCAAGAGGCAGCGCCCAGCCATTCATTCATTCCTGCGGGAGCCATGCGGAAGCGCTGCCACAGCGACTTGTGCAAGGAGGTCTGCAGATGAGCCCGGAGGACGCAGTGGGCAAGAGAGAGGGAGTTAGCATAGCGATAGGTTAGATGCAGCGATAGCTGCCATCGCTGTAGTTAGTAGTGAGTGTGTGTGTGTGYTCGAGTGTTAGAGTGATGCGTGTGGGATATCCAGGGTGATCCAGTGTATGTGAACAGTGAGATGTTTGGGCGCTGAAGTCGCCATAGCCAATTGAGAGTGAACTCGTATCTGAAAGCCATATCTCTGAGTTTTGAGTGGGCGCATGTCACCAGTATGCTGCGATGCTGTTTACATGCATGAAAAGTGTGTTTGAGAACGAGTCTGATTGCAAAGGATAAAAGAGACCTCTAAACCACGAAAGAAGAACCTCCCATTTCCTGAACCGACCTCCCACCTAACTCCTCCAACTTCCCTTCTAAAACACTTCTTCTATTATAGCAGCATTCCCCCTTAGTACCCCCTTTGCTACCTATCCCACCACCCACTCGCCTCCTAGATCCCCCATCCCAAGCCCTGAGCCTAAACCGTCCTAAGCCCACCCAGGTGACTGTCAAACCTAACCTGCCTGAGAATGTTCGTAGAGCTTAACCCAGCCCCCGGAGCCTAAATAGGCTCAGCTTCTACGTTGTCCTCTAGGAGTCCCCAGCCATTGTGCGGGAGACTGATGCCCTCCTGCGGGCGGAATCAACCGAGGGGCCAGGTACGGCCCACTAACCACCCACCAACTTACCTTCCGACCCCAGACTTCTGCCCTTCTCTACCTATCCTACCCCCCGGACAGCCAGGGAGACAGGACCAGCTTCCCTTCCAGGATCACCGCCGCCAGACGGTTTCCCCGGGCCCAGGTGAAGAGGAACCACCTCCAGCCTCTTGGGGATCGTCCCCTGTCTGCGTTTCTGATCCAGTCACCGCAGATGATAGTGCGGACGAGGAACTTCACCTTCTTCTTGATGGCGATGTCCGAGGCCCTCTTGTCCCTGAATAGGGTATTGTTCCTGTCGTACCAAATAAACCACATCAGTGCTGACCGGATGGCTTGCACCATATAGCCCCAGCCTCTTTTTGTTAAAAACAGAGATGAGAGAATTCCAGTGAGCACCCAGGTCTGGTTCCACTCCAGCGCCGAGCCCAGCCCTCTGGCAATGGTCTGCCCACCAACGCCAAATCCATCTGGAGGCTGGTCATTCCCAAACGAGGTGGAGCCTCCGCGGAGGAGGGTTTCCTCCTGCCTATTCCCACAACGTTTACACGTTAACCGGATGTCCATGCCTCTTTACACTAGCTAGTCAGCCGTGTGAATTGCAGAATGTGAGAGCTGCCGCAGGAGACCTGCGAACTTTAGGCTGGGGAGCAGAGATAAGCTTCCTCTGAAGGTGGTGCCGCCAACGAAAGTCTCCTCGCTGCTCTCTCCCTGATTTCTGACGAGGACTGGTTGGGAGCTGGAAGCGTTTTCCTCCCCAGCTTTGTATCGAAGTGAGACAGGTTTCTGGGGTGTCCCTGGTTAGATGGCCAGATGAACTTGAGAGGGTCTATTTGCAGTCGAGCCTTGGACTAGCAAGTAGCCTTTGCGGCCATTGGCTTCAGCAGATTGGACAACACAAATGGCGGATAGCAGTCGGTCTGTGTGGATTGCAATTTCCTGAACCCGAACCAACTTCTTGGGTTCCCCCTGTACTCGACGAACTGACCACTGAGACGCTGTCCACGTGTCTTCATCTAGATGAGCCTCCAGATTGTATGAATAGCCAAGATCAACGATTGGAGCTTCTCGGCCACCTCATGGAGTCTTCCCAGGGACTGGTGTACCTCGTTCTCTGTTTCCACTCCGACGTCTGGTCTGACCAGATGTCCTGAACCTGGGATACTCTTTCCACCCACTTTCTGCCAAACTCATCGAGCTGGGCCCGTGTCGAGAAGGGGCTACCAGATGTTTGTAGAATCCTCGGGTTGTCAAAGAGGGGTTGGGTCAAGACCTCTTCTTTCTGTCTTGGTGCTGCTGAGGCCTATGGTCTCAGCTTCCTCCATGCAACCCACCATGCCAACCCGATTGCAGACTTAGGACGCTGGTTAAGAAATGCTTCCGATTGGAGACACGTCCAGACGTCCTCTGTCTGGACAACTGGAATTCCTGTTGTAATATGTATTGTGCCACCTCCATCCAGCTTCTCTGTTCAGTCTGCAGGCTGGCTTTCTGAATCCGTTTGCCCAGCAACGCCAGGTTCTACTTACCTGGGTCGATCAGGCCCAGTCCACCCTCTGTCTCGGGCTGGGTAACACTTTTCCACGCCACCTTAGTGATTAACTCCTCCCGCTCTTCCTTTCTTTCTTTTTTTTTTTTCCTTTTTTTTTCCCTTTTTTAAGGAAAACATCACCCTTTCACGGATCATGCTAATGGAGGTGATAGAGCATCCCCCATTAGCAGACCCTGTTTTGCATGGCTCCATCTATTAGTGGGAAGCAGCACTTGCTAAAAAGCAGGTCCACCTTGAAACAGAGATACTGTGCTACTCGTACTTGTACTTGAAAGCCTTGTACTACATTGTTCACTGGCTAGACACCCGGTGTAAGTTTATTTGCTTGAGATTTTCCTGTCAGTTCCCGCTCTAGGTCAGGCCTGTGAATGGTGTCTGGTGTGCCCACTTATCTAATAAACCCTCTTCCCTGTGGATCCCAGTAGTACCATAACTGTAGCGGACCCACCAGGTGTGGTGCTCCGCTAGTGATAGAGATGGAGATGGAGGAAGAAGGGGGGAGCGAGATGGCACAAAGCAGCTCCCCACGCAAGACTCCAACGCACGTACTCCAAAATGTGCAAGTGAAGAATGATCCGAAAAACAGACAATGGCTGGGGTATACCCCAGCGGACTGACAACCTGGACTGGACTGGCTGGTACCGACAGAGGTACCGGCCTGGACTGGACTGGACTGCCCCCGAATAGAACACAGGCCTGTGAGAACAGGCCAAGGGGCTGGTCTCACAGGCCAACCAGAGGTCCGCTACACGATCCTCGGCCTGTGATGGATCGCCTAGATACAAACACGCTTCCGCCAAGAAGCGGAACTCTACCAAAGAAAAAAGAAAACCTGAGTAGTCTAGGATGCGGAGCGAGCTCCATGCTGAGTCCATGCGATGCAACCTAGGCTAGAAAATGTCACAAAACAGCAATGTCACAGCTAACAGCCGAAGTAAAAGCAAAAACAACTAACTAGCATACATGACCTAGGAAAGCAGAAGCAACTAACTAGCATACATGTCCTAGGAAAGCAGAAAGTAATGACAACTAGATCCTAGAATGTTGGAGGCAGTAGCCTCAGTCTGGAAACAGCTGACTGGTGTATAGTCCTAAGAACAACAAAAGCAAAACAACTAAATCCTAGAAATGCCAGAGGCAGTAGCCTCAGTCTGAGAGCAACAAAGCAACCACAAGTCAACCATATGTCACAGGGGAAGTGTGTCGCAAACCAAAGGGTGGGACGGTCTCTGAGGGTGGCGAATGCAACCTAGGGGTCGAAAACTCCTAAGGGCATCCACACATAGATAACAGGGAGACACATGTCATCAGGCTCAATGAGGGTAGGGAACTGGGAGCGAACAGAACCAATGACCCTAACAGATAGACCATCAGGGCGGGTAATGCTCGACTAAGGGGTGACCGCTATGGAGGGTCGACCATGCAAGGGAACAAGGGAGCCTGGTATATTGGGCGCACCTAGATGAAGCATGCGGGGCTGCCTAACTAGGGCGTGAGGGCCGGCAGAGGGTAGAAAGCTGATGGGTAAGGGAATCATGCAAACGACTCCTAAGTGAGGGAAGTCGGAGCTAGATCCGTAAGATGGGAAGCCAGGGCAACGCTACGGTCCCGATGCCTATGCGTATACCAAGGGAGAGCCCAACTCAGAGAAACCCGGCTAAAGGGAGACCATCATGCGACACAAGCAGGGTACTGTACGGGTAAAGTGGTAAACGACGTCTGAAGTAGGCAGAGCTGATCGTGACGAGGTCCATGAAGCTGCCGATGACGTCCACGATGAGAAGTCTGGAATGTCGTCGAGGAAGAGCCGCAACGTCGATGAGCTGAAGTAGCAAAACTGGAGTGGATGGAGTACTGAGAAGTCAAGGACGTGGGAAGGTAAGTCAGAGTCAATCGTCGTATCGAGCAGGACGACGACGAGTGCGCTCTGGACGCTCAGAAGCATCCGGCTGCTGCTGAAGGTCTGCCTCAGATGGAGCAGGCTCGACTTCAGCGGTCTCCTCAGCAGGGGAGAAGGAGGAGGGTCAGTGGGCTGAGGAAGAGCAGTGAACCCAGCACGACGAGCACGGTCATAGGCACGCACCAACATACGAGTGTGCTGCAAGTGCTCGAGGGGCTCCCAGGTAGCCTCCTCATCAGGGTAACCCTTCCAACGTACGAGATACTCGACGTGGGGAGGGTTATCGTCGGTGACTCGGCGACCAATGATGTCTGAAACGAGGAACTCCTCGTGGCCGTCCACCATGATGGGTGGAGGGCGTTCGTATGGTCATCCAGCGAAACGCTCGGACGGTCTGCGGTAAGGACGCAGTAACGAGACGTGGAAGACATCGTGCACACAAGCCTGGCGTAGGTAGTCGGGCAGCTTCACACGAAAGCTGATCGGGCTAGATGCCGTATCAGAACCGACGGCCTGGAGGATGCGGCATGGGCCAAAGAAGCGACGCCGAAACTTGCGAAGCGTGTCCGTTTCGAGCTGTAAGTGGCGGGCGTCGATAAGCACATCATCACCGACTTTGAATGGATGATCCATTCTCGATCGGTTCGCACGTGCTGCCATGCGAGTCTGGGAAGCGGCTATGTGCTCATTTGCGGTCTTCATGATCGACGTCATGTGTGCAACCCAATCATCCAGCACGGGACAAATCATGTTGGGGTGCATCTGTGACGGTCGGAGGAAGTCCGCGGGAACACGAGGGTGGTAGCCGAGGTCGCAATAGTAAGGCGACATCCCCGTGGCTGGCGAGACGGCGTGGTTGTAGGCTATCTCCGCGTGGGCAAGATGGAGGTCCCACTGCTGGTCGTCACGAATAATCTTTCGGAGTATATCTCCGAGAGTCCTGTTCGTGATCTCGGTCTGACCATCAGTCTGAGGATGGTAAGACGAGGAGAAGCGGAGCTGAGTGCCATATACCTCGTGGAGCCGTCGCCAGAATCGGCTGGTAAAGCGCGGGTCACGGTCAGATATGATGCTCAGAGGTAAGCCGTGGTCACGCACGACTCGATCAAACACGATTTCGGCGACCTCACGTGCACTGATGGCGTGCACGCTTCGTGAAGCGGTCGACGACGACCAGGATAGCATCATGACCGCGAGGGGTCGGAGGACGAAGGGGACCGATAAAGTCCATCGAGATGAACTTCCAACGACCCTCAGGGATAGGAAGAGGCTGGAGCAAACCATAAGGCAGGTGCTTCGCACTGTTCACCTCCTCACAGGTGGGACACTCTGCGACGTAGTCCTTCACAAAGTCCTTGCGCTTTGGCCAGACGTACAGGCGGCTCACACGAGCCAACGTCTTGTGGAAGCCCATATGACCGGTGGCTGCCTGGTCATGGAAATCTGCTACTGCTCGGACACGTAGCTGTCCAGTGGAGGGAACGCAAATACGGGGCTCTCTGGTGCCTTGTGAACCGTGCCAATACACGAGACCGTTGTCCCCGAGAGAGTACTTCGGGACGGTCTTGCCACTCCGAAAGGTCGCGTGGATGTCGCGATAGTCGGGGCAGTGGCGGTACTGAGTGCGAAACTCGTCGATCACCGAGTGGTGGACGGTGGTGACCGAGATGGAAGAGAGCTGGATCTGCTCCTGGTCGTGGTCAGGGCGCCGGGATAAGGCATCTGCGACCCGATTAGTCTCACCCTTGATGTGCTCAGTGGTGAAACTAAACTCGGATAGGTCGTGCGACCAGCGAGCCTGTCGAGGAGTGAGCTTCGATTTTGTCAGAAAAGCCTGGACAACAGAGTTGTCCGTACGCACCGTGAACGGTGCCCCGTGCAGGTAGTGACGCCAGTGCCGAGCGGCATAAACTACTGCGAGAACCTCACGTTCATCAGC